TAGGTTGTAAATTGAACACTATAAAAGTTAATAAACATTAACATTGTAAAAACAGCACTCACTGCACACTGTAAAGTGTTAAAGGTAACACTGAATTGTGTGGACACATATAGACACCATGCAGTGTTAATTTAACACTGGCACATTTGCTGTGTAGAGGCTTTGAAGCAACTTGGCAGATAGTGCAGCTAATATTGACTTCATTCTAAAGAAGTACTTTGATTAAGGAGAACAGAATTTAAATATAAGGAGTTGACCTACTAAAATGAGAAAAAAGACCTTTTTTTGGTCATACTGCCAACTGTACATAGTCTGCTTTCCCCCATTTTAAAAATCACCGTCCACCACTGTCAGACACTGTTATTGTAATATGGATTTCAGCACAGGGAAAATGCTTCTCAAGTATTTAAGAATGATTAGTGGAAAATGTATGGACAGCCTGTAAAGGACTCAATCAGATTTGAGTTTTCTCTGTTCTTAGTCTCCAGCTGCTTGTTCTCCTCTGCCAGGTGTGCTTGCATTTCTGACAGAAAAGCATTCAAACAGATAAGCACTGACAGTAGGTGTAAAGTACCAATCCTGTATGACTATGGAAAATAGAGTGGAATCGGTGACATTCACCTGAGGTACTGCTTGATGTCATCCTTTGTAAGTCCGTCATCTCATTCTGCAGGCCAGATCTTTGTATAACTAGAAGACCCAAAGGAAAAATTAACAGTAAATTCTCAGAATTTATAAGGCTGTCTTCATCCTAGTTCTGTCAAGCTAACATTTATCACAACTTATCCAAACCCTTCTTTCGGTGAACCTGTACCCTATTCCAGGGTACACCATACCAGTTCATCACCACCATGGAACTGTAGTATATATGATTTACTCATTGTTATTTATTGTGTTATACAGTTCTGTATTATACATTTATTTTTACATTATACATATAAAATTGCAATCGTTTAATGGATAGATTTGAGCTGTAACAGAGATTTACAGAGAGTCATAAAAACATATTGCAGTATAGTTCTGCCAGTGTTCACATTACAATACTTAGTGCAAACACTACTTACATGAGACACTGAGTACAGCACCAAGAATGATCAGTGTGATGATCCACAGAGAGATGAACACCACCAATGTCCTCTTGTACAGAGACTCACTCCTAGAAGTGTTTTGTGGTTCTGAGAGTTTTAAAAAATGGTTATTGCCTCTCCATGCAATCCTATTCATACTAGTAATTTTTCTGGATAACAAATGATTCTTGCATATATCTTGAAAGTTTTTCCTCAGATTTACATTCATATGATAACATTCAGTGATCAGTGGCTCATGATGATGAGTTCACCTTCAGCAAGAGATTGATTACTAGAGACTGAAATATTTAGTTTATTTGATTGTCAATGTCAGTTGAATCTCCAGTAAATGCCA